CCACCGCTCTCATAACTCGGTTCCTAGAAGTTCCGGCGACCGGGGAAAATGTGCATAAGTATTGAGGTATGGAGTAGGGTTGAATGCCATTGTTGGGCTAAGCATGCACCAAAGTGGGCGGGGTCTGCCTCAGAAATTCGTGACTCATAACGCCATTTACAAGACCTCATAATTCGGCTCCGAGATGACTTAGAGACCTGAAAAATACGCCAGAGGTGAAAGTAGGAGTAGAGGTTGAATGTGAACGCTGGGCGTGGCACACCCGGATGTGGGCGGAGTTTGCCACCGCTCTCATAACTCGGTTCCTAGAAGTTCCGGCGACCGGGGAAAATGTGCATAAGTATTGAGGTATGGAGTAGGGTTGAATGCCATTGTTGGGCTAAGCATGCACCAAAGTGGGCGGGGTCTGCCTCAGAAATTCGTGACTCATAACGCCATTTACAAGACCTCATAATTCGGCTCCGAGATGACTTAGAGACCTGAAAAAAATACGCCAGAGGTGAAAGTAGGAGTAGAGGTTGAATGTGAACGCTGGGCGTGGCACACCCGGATGTGGGCGGAGTTTGCCACCGCTCTCATAACTCGGTTCCTAGAAGTTCCGGCGACCGGGGAAAATGTGCATAAGTATTGAGGTATGGAGTAGGGTTGAATGCCATTGTTGGGCTAACCATGCACCAAAGTGGGCGGGGTCTGCCTCAGAAATTCGTGACTCATAACGCCATTTACAAGACCTCATAATTCGGCTCCGAGATGACTTAGAGACCTGAAAAAAATACGCCAGAGGTGAAAGTAGGAGTAGAGGTTGAATGTGAACGCTGGGCGTGGCACACCCGGATGTGGGCGGAGTTTGCCACCGCTCTCATAACTCGGTTCCTAGAAGTTCCGGCGACCGGGGAAAATGTGCATAAGTATTGAGGTATGGAGTAGGGTTGAATGCCATTGTTGGGCTAAGCATGCACCAAAGTGGGCGGGGTCTGCCTCAGAAATTCGTGACTCATAACGCCATTTACAAGACCTCATAATTCGGCTCCGAGATGACTTAGAGACCTGAAAAAAAATACGCCAGAGGTGAAAGTAGGAGTAGAGGTTGAATGTGAACGCTGGGCGTGGCACACCCGGATGTGGGCGGAGTTTGCCACCGCCCTCATAACTCGGTTCCTAGAAGTTCCGGCGACCGGGGAAAATGTGCATAAGTATTGAGGTATGGAGTAGGGTTGAATGCCATTGTTGGGCTAACCATGCACCAAAGTGGGCGGGGTCTGCCTCAGAAATTCGTGACTCATAACGCCATTTACAAGACCTCATAATTCGGCTCCGAGATGACTTAGAGACCTGAAAAAAACGCCAGAGGTGAAAGTAGGAGTAGAGGTTGAATGTGAACGCTGGGCGTGGCACACCCGGATGTGGGCGGAGTTTGCGGCGTAAGTAAGATGTACCGAGCAGAAAGCTAAAATCAAGACAAAAATACTGATGGGCCCGATTTTACCGCTGCAGCCCCGTCTCATGCACGCGAATGCGTGCGCAGCCAAACTGGTTAAATAATAAATGCAGCACAAGCTGATAGGAGAGGCAAATCGGCATCGTTGATACAGAGACTAACTTGGAGTTTTCTCAACAAATTCATCGATTGGAAGACGAGCATGATCGTAGCGATTTTTGACAGCCTGTTCAAAGCAGAGGCCTTTTTGACTGTTATGGTCGACGAGACCGCCGATTACATAAACTTTCGTGTCATCCAACTTGGTCAAAACCTGAGAATGTTTCTTCAGTGGGAAAATGGACTCATTCAGAACAAATAAAAACGTCACGTTATCTGGAATCGGCCTAAGGTACACTATTTCACTCGTCCTGAACAAGTCGTTAATCGACTCAGCCTTTAGAAAAATGTCTTGGTTATGATTGGATTCTATGCTGTCGTAGATCTGGAAATATATTTTTGGCGCTATCGCAATGTACAGGGGCACTGTGATTACAATGCGTTGGAAACCGCGTAAAACGTGTATTTTGTGTTGGAAACGAGACTAAGCCTTGAGCGGGGGAGGAGAGATCTAAAGGTGCATGAGCTATTTCAATTTTCCGCGGAGATCCTGCACCCTCGTAGGCTTATTCCTAGAGGATGCCCTCGTCTACTGCGATAGCGTCCATTTTTTAATTGTTAGAAAATTAAAAGAATGCAGAAGCAAAACAGCGATGAGCAGACTTTAAAAAGTGGGGAGAGCTAGACAAGTTAGCATACAGGAGAGAGGAAATGCAGCAAAATCAAAAGAAGGCGATGCAAAATAAATGTATGCATGACGTGAAATGGATCCTATCCCTCCCAACCGATTCCCCTATCCCTTTGAAGTCAGACTGTGAGAAACGTCTTCGCCAAGATAGGACCTTCTTTAAGCTCAAAAACTCTTCTTTCCGCTTGACTAGAAACCCATTCTTTGCCAGCCAATTTTTGCAATTTGTCCCTGGTTTCCCGCGAATATATTCTTATCATCATGTTTCGTTATCGGAACCATGGAATCCTTCCATCATGACGTTTAAAATGGCAGGACGATTATCAAGCTTGAACTCGTGCTCAGTGCACCCACCTCCTGCCAGCTTCGTCCTTTCTGAACTCAGTATTCAAGAAGCGGATAAACCACTTCGCATTGTAATTTCCAAGTACTCAATACCCCACCTTAATGAAGCGGTTTTCCAAATGCTCATCTTTCTCCTTTCCTACAAAACCGCACTACTTTATTTCACAGCTTATCGAAGTATTTTCCCACATGCCTGATCTCGGTTGGATTCGAAGTGGCATTGTCAGCGCCCCTTACAGTCCACACTACCCTGATTTTTTGGATTCTCTGGATTGGACGCCACACTCAAAAGCGCAACCTAAGATAGGGTGAGCGAAATATTGCGTGTAAGCTCAAAACGAGCAGGGGCCGTGGAAGATGCGATACGAGGCATCGTTGTGGCAGACGATGTCCTTGAAACAAGGGTTATTAGGCGCTAAACGCTGGTCCGTCCCCTCCCCGTGGTGGTATCGCATGATCCACGTTGTCTAAGGCTGGTGTCAGAGTCCGCGATCCGTCGCAGGTTTCGCTGATTTTCGCGATTTGCGCGATTCACGCGACGGGTCACGGAAATCACAAGTGCTTGATAGTGATGGCTGAATGACGACTGCTCATGATTCCACTTGTTTCATATTCAGTGTTTCAAATGTTCAAATGGGCACTTGCAATTTTTGCGATCCGCGCGAATCGCGCAAATCGCGAAAATCGCGATCGTCGCGGTTTCGCTGATTTCAGCGATTTTCGCGATTTGCGCGAAACCTGCGATGGATCACAGGAGTTGGAAGTGCCCGATGAATACTGCGAGGTGTTGTTTAATCCTGCTGCGAATTCTGCTTGACAGTAAAGATTGAAAGACGAATGTTTGTGGTTCTACTTGTTTCATGTTCAATGTCTATCAGTTCATTGAAATGCTCATGATTCGTTCCTATTCTATCCTATAATTCTAGATTCTATAATATCAAACAAGTGGAATCATGAGGGCAGTCGTCATTCAGCCATCACTATCAAGCAGAAGTGGCGGCGGGATTGGAGAACACCTTGCAGTATTGATGGGGCACTTGTGATTTCCCCGTCGCGTCGCGAAAATCGCGCAAATCGCGAAAATCAGCGAAACCTGCGACGGATCGCGGACTCTGACACCAGCCTAAGTGATCACCATGTCTTCTCGTCTTGGAGAGTTTCTTATTTCTCTTTTCGCTGTTTTAATCTTGTTCTTCTCCATACTGTAGAAAAGCGATGGCTGTAGCTTTTGTGTTCTCGACGGTTCCTCTTCATTTTAAACTGTCGGCCCGATTCGCACTGCTTATTTCATTCGCTTTTGCCCTACCTATTTGGTCCTGAAGTGTGCGCTTTACACAAACTTCCCTACAAAACCATGCACTTTATCCCCAATTCCTTTCGTCGCGAGGAGGCGGTGAATTTATGCACTATTATTGAGTAATAGCGTCGATCCGTGTTCTTTTGCGTTAGCGGCGGCTCGCCTTGACGAGCTCGTCCCATCTTTGTCTTAGCGAACAACATGATCTTACTGAGCTTCGCCCCACTGTTGCTCCCCAGCACTCATATCGGCCTCTTTTGATACACGATCAGTTGGATTTCCCCGTTTTCAAAGCAAAGTTGTTTTCACTATCCTGCTTTGCTCGAATGTCCGAGACCAGACTGTTGTCCTCGATTGAGTGACATCTGTTTGTTTCGCAATCGTGGGATCACCTTAACTATGCTGGCCCTCTTCGTTGTCTTACGGATGTGACTTTTGAATCTTTCCGTGAACAACATGCTGCAGACCAGTATCCCGTTAGCTATAACAATACCGATAACCCTTTTCTTCAACGTTTTCTGAAGCGACTTTTCTCTCATAGGGCGGCCTCTATGCCGCTGCAGACCAAGCCACTCAGATCATGGTTACAAGGCTTCTGTCAACCAAAGGGTGAGAGCGTAGCTGGAAAAGCACACACTTTGTGTCTTATTGGGACTAAGCCTTTTGAAGAGATAAAGAAAGAGGAGATGCTGTGATAGTGTGCACTTGTGAGAGCTCCCAGACATCACTACAAAACGCTGAACCGCCAAGCCTCACGGTTGACAGATGTCCTGAGACCTCAGATCATCCGCAATGAGAAAGGGTCACATCTCGGGAATAAAATTGGTGGCTTCGTCAATGACCAGAAATCCCAGAAATTTTACTCCTCTTAGTTCTTCTTTGGGCAACCACCTGAGCCACATTTTCTTGTACATTCCCCCAACAAAGACCCTATCCCTGACCCGCTCGACAGCCAGAACATAGTCCTCATGTGATTCCACTAGCGATGCGATAGCGCTGATTCGTTTCGTATGTACTAGTTTGTTCAAGAGTCTCTGGAGCTCCTTCCCCATCCTACTGACCTTAGCTTCTTTCCCGCAGATATCCTGAAGGCGTAGTGCATGGGGAATCCTTCGCTCTACCAGACCAGCAGCTAGGAAATTTTCATTAGCGATCCGACATTCAGAACTTCAACTCTAGTTGCGTACTTGTTTCGCGCGAGGTGGTTCAGCGCTCGGTAGCCATTCACCCTGACTACATAATTTAGGCTATGAATGTAATTAGGTCACTATAGAATGGCACCCTGACATTACTGATGTGATGATATTCTTCGGTTTTTATTTAACTGTTCTTGATAGGTTTTCATCAGCTGACCAGTCAACCTGATCTGGTAAAAGCACCGTTTCT